CATATTTTTCTACTTGCATTTTTACATGCTTTTGAACTGCTAGGTTGGCAGAAGCTGGGACAAGTAACGGGAATTCACTCTGTTACGCGGTGCAGGAATTCGAACCGCAGAACTGCTGACCTTTCTGATTGACAAGCTCAGCATCTTAGCACTGAGCCACAGCATTCCTCCATGTTCTATAGAGAATATTAAAAACAGCATCTAGGTCCATTTTTGGAAAAAAAATTGATAATACTTTTCAAATATCTTTTTTACATGTTCTATTCAGTAGGATGGGGATAGAACAGAATTATGGAACCAGAATAAAACCCTTCATATGTTTTTATTATGTGCATCAAACACACATTGAAAATTTACGATGCAGGTTTTTAAGCTGAAATAACAATAAAAATAAAGCCAATAATTTAGGAAAAAATTAAAGTGTCTAGAATTCATACATTTTGCAGCCTATTGAATTAAGGGCTACAATTTTCCAAAACTGTAGGACTTTGGGTAAGAGCACTCTATTTCCATTCTCTGCCCCATAGTGAGGAAGTTACCATAGTGATGAACCACTAAACTATGGGTAGCAAGTTCTCTGTAGTCTTAGCTTAATGCAGAGTTTGAATATACACTCTATGTACACATTACAACTGAATGTAATCTACAGAAATGGATTAATATGAAATTAGTGCAGAATAAAGATAACACAGCATGAGTAATGTTAGTAAAATTGACATGGATATTTACCTTTGGATGATGAACTATAAGTCTCTTGTTCTTCAATGAATAAAATGCACGGAATGATGGGAATAAAAGAAAGAAATCAGCAATTTAAAGTTAGACAAAAATGGCGTTATACATGAGAATGAGAAACACTACAGGCTCTGTTGCAACATGCAGAAAATTAATGTGGGGAAACAGATGAAAATAAATCATGAAAAGTTATAAATTCTGAGATCAATACGAAAGTAAACATGCTCAAGCTCACTGAAATTAATTGTCTTCAGTATTTTTAATACTCTGCTGGAACATGGCCTGGAATATGAATTTTACAAGTTCCAAAGTTTAAACATCATTCAAAAGCTGCATTTGATGTGATAAGCCCATAAGAATTGCTGTTTCAAATGTTTATGAATGTGAATCTGTCCATTTTTTCAACATCATTTATCATTTAAGACTTCCACACATTAAAATAAAACAAAATGCAGTCTTATCATACACTACACAGGTATTCCCTTTAATACATTCAGATTAGAATGCAACATATTGTACTTTAATTAGACCTGCCTTGCTTTCAAGTGATGGTATTAAAAATAACAGATGAACAAAGTGTGGGGGAAAGTTTCCATTGTAAAAATGGAATAGCAAAATCATACACACAAAACCAATAATGTGTGTACATTAACAAATTTAAAAAAATGATAGATATTAATTTATGACTTTTCAATGAGCTATTATTACATAATATTCTCCCATCAATTTTTAATATATTTGAATAAGAAATGTCTTTTCTCTATGGAGCCACAATTTACTACTTAAAGATATATTGTATGTCTGAGTAAAACTAAGTATGCTTTCTATAAGACAATACTTCAATGGAATTTTTATGCAAGATTTAAGAGGCATTTTAAACAAAGTATAGTAAGCTAATCTAATATATATTATCAAATACTGATATAGTACTAATCATAACACAATGTTAAATACTGCAGAATCAAACATTGTCCTAAAGTCCTAGACACTGATAATATTACCTAGGTAATTAATAAAAGATTGTAAGCAAATAAACAACCTCAGAGAGCACTAAGGACTTTCCATTGTCTTAAGGATATAACAATTCTAGGTTTTGTCTTTTGCTTTTGAACCCGAACAAACTATTCTTAAATTATAAATGAGCAGAATACCACAAAAATATACATATACATGAAGTTGTAGCGTAAAATATACACAGATAGAATGCGCATATTCACACTCGAGATATGTCTTTTTGGTAACCAGTTGTCTAATAGATGGATATTCTTTATTAAATCAAACAATATTCAATTCTGAAAAATGAAAAGAAATGACACCATTAGCCTCTTAAAAGAAGCCAACATCATGTCTTGATGATTTAAAAATATAAATTTTTAAAAAGCTACTATTTGCAAATCAGAACATATTAATGCTTTTTTAAAAGATGTACTGTCTATTGCAACCCATGACTACCTCTCAAGCCTATGTGTCATGCATTTTTTACAGATGCTACAATTAAGCAAGGTATATTAAATAAAAGTTTAGGCATAAGAAATAATACAATGCCCTCATCAGCACATTTTCACTTGGAAGTTCAGAAATAAAGATGAAACCCAGCCTGCAACATTACTTAGTTAAAAAAAAGACAACCCTGCATTTTCAGGAAAAAAAAATCTATTCTAAATCCTGCAAAGACCAAATGTTTGCAGGTCTGAAATGACATAGAATATGACAGTCCTAATTCTTCCCTTGCTGGCAACATGATCTTCTGCAACAAAACATTTTTCCTCTTTTTGCAGAACAAAACTATCTGCTTTGATGAAGAGTGTCAATTCATGCACGGTGAACATGTTTTCAGTTTTTTTAATAGAAAAGACTGCATTACATCAAATGGTACGATAATGTATTATCCACACAGACAACTGAAAATTCAACAGATATATACATATTTAATTAGATTCAATCATTTTAGAGAAAAGTGGTGCATTTGAAATGCCATAATAAGACATTGGCTGTCTTCCAAACATGATACTGACAACCCTATTCCACTAAAATTAATGAAATTTCTAAACTGGCATATATATCACAATTATAGCCACCATTAATCAACAGATTCACAATAACTAGGAAATCAACAAAAGCAAATCACATAATCTGTATTTTTGTAATTGCATATTTTCATTGGATCTGTTTTTCTGTTATCAGCTATACATTGTATCCTCTGTTTTTTTCTTCTTCTTTCTCATTATTTTTGTAAGCATTTTCATACACTTGCTATTGTTTCCCAGAATACAGAAATATTTCAATATGCTACAGGCATATAAAGACAAATGCCGTACAGAATAATTTGTTAAATTCTACTACAAATTTACTGTTTGCAAGAAAAGTATGCATTATCATCTATGAATTATCATACTGTACATTTCTTACACTACTATCAAGATCTCTTCCTACTGACACATGTTCCATATACTCCAGAGTGCAAAAATGGCTGATCTATTTTGATCTTATCCCATTTGTAAAAACAGCACACATTCCAAATTACAGAAATCAAATTCTGTTCATTGTTAAGAGTTAACTAGTTAAAAGTTAGTTCTGTTCCAAGAAGCAATCTCTTTGTAAAATAGCCAAAGTCACATTATTGTCTGCTTTACATTTGCAACTGGACAAGAATACTACATGGCAGAATTTGGGCAAAATTCTCAAGTAAAAACATTTTTCAAGCCATCCAAGGTACACATTTTAAAACTGTATTTCTTTATTACATTTAAAGTGACAGCATTAAAGAAGGTGCAAAAAAAAAAAAAAAGGAAATGTACTAGGCAGATATAAGGACTCACCCTGAATGCCAGCTATGCAGATATGGCACCTTTTAATATAATAAATTGATTAGTGCTTTCAGAAACTAACCAGAAAAAAAAATCTAGATTCACATTAATTTTTTACCAATGTGAAGAATAACAAATCGTCCTTGAGAACAAGTGAAATTCAGTGTGCTGAAGTGTAAGAGCAATCATGTTAGGAAGCCTTTCCCCCCCTATTTTATTAAAATTGCTCAAATCTTTCACTCTTAATAGTTTGACTGATTCCCAATCAACAAAATCCTGTAAGCATAAATTTGATGACAGAATATTTGTAAGAAATTGCATGGACAATTGCCACTTAGGAAATGTTTTTTCACAATATAAATTGTATAACACATAGTATATATGTAGGATCTTACACTAAGAGAAAATATATATATATGAATGCCAACAACAACAAAAAATCCCCTTTCCTCCTAGAAAAATGGGAGATGGAAATGGGCACAATATCATGTTTTGATACTCTAAAGAAGCACAAGTGGATGAACAAAGAACTGTATTAATAAAATTATTTAAAAAAAGAGATCTTAAACAATAACAATACAAGTTAGGAGGCACATCTACCAAAATCCTAAAATAAAATGACCAGTTGATAGGAAACCACGTATTGATCTGGTGCATATTGTATTTTACAATTCGTCAATGAGGTCTCCGTTTTTCATTAGGAAACTCAATTCACATACTATAAATATCGGCAAAGCATGGATATCTAAATATTATTATTTTCTAAAAAGATACTAGGATACTAATATAATGTACAGAAGGAAAAATCTTAAAGCTGTTATTTTTTCAGTTATGAAACACATAATGTAAAAAATATAAATTTTATGAATGCATTGTACATGATTTTTAATTCAAACCTAACAGTTGTGGATTTTCACAAGAAAGTTATGTATTTTTGTAATTCAGTAATTATGTTGTTATTATGGACTAGTGGACAACACTCTTTCTTTCAACATCCAGCCTTCTAAAGTGCAGTTCCCTTATGTTCCTTTGTGTTTCATCCAGTAAAACATTTTCCCCATATTTTCATTGGATTTTGACATGCTCAGAAAGGGATTTAATTAGCCTTGTTCACATTCGTGTCAGCAAATTGCCATTAATTAGCTTCAGCTAACAAAACAAAATAAATGTCAAGATGTGTCAATAATTAGAATGAGGATCTCCAACCATCTTGGGGAGAAAATAAAGAGTAAATGAACACACAAATAATTGATATGTATCTTCACAAATAAAACATGAGCCTTTTTATCACCCATACAATTCACAATATATGTTTTAATATTTTCCTATTTTATCAATGAAAACCAATAAAAACCTGAAGAGTCTATAAAGCAAGATCTAAGATGTTTTTGAAAAAGAAGAGAAAGGAAGAAGAAAACAGAGCTAAGACTTTCAAACTATAAACTAGTTTTTTGATACCTTGCTCTGTACTGCTACTCCTGGTGGGAACTTGTGGAAGCTGTCTCCCCTTACGGCTGAAGGATGTATCTGCTGGAGATGACTGCATGGGACTTCCCGGTTGGCGCATTCTGCACCGAAAAAAATTAACATTAAATACGGTGGTTCTCACACACAACCAAATCAATGAGATATTAGAAATACAAAATATGTTAAAATATCAAGAAGAAAATAGAGACAAACTATCTTATTATTTATGTTCTTAATATGAGAAGTAAGAACGTGTCTAGGTACCAGGCTAGAAAGTGGGAAACTGTGAGTTCAAGTCCCTTAGACATGAAAGCCAGTTGGTTAACTTTGGGTCTCTCTGTCTCTGTCTCTGTCTCTGTCTCTGTCTCTGTCTCTGTCTCTGTCTCTGTCTCTGTCTCTCTCCCTCCCTCCCTCCCTCCAATCCATCTCGCAGGATTGTTGTTGTAGGGAAGATAGGAGGAGGAAGTTTGTTGGATATGTTTGCTGCCTTCAGTTATTTATAAAATCTATTTGGGAATTTGTAAAACTACCAGTAAAAAGGTGGGCATTTGACAATTTTGTGAAATTAATAATATTATTATATATATAGGTTAACTTTTACAAACAGAATGTTAGAACATGTTCACACATCACCAGGTGAGAAATCTCTGAGAATAGGATTCCAATATATTCTTTCAACTGGTATTTATCACTTCTACATTTCCTCTTTTGAAATCATTGCTTTGTTAAAACCACTGACATAATTACCTTAATATTGCAATTCTCAGTGTGGCATTATTAGGAAACTGCATAAAAATAGCCCAGAACATTTAAACGATAATAGAAAGTATTACAGAGAAATTACAAAAAATAAAATGACCATTTAAGTGGAGCTGTATAATAAAAAAACTACCATTTGCTTCTTCTGATACATGAATGAAAACTACTTCCCCAAGATCCAAAATCAGTCCTGACAGATCAGTGTGATAGCCTACAGTTATAAGAAACATAGAATTTTGCAGATTTCTCTCTGCATCTGGAATGAGGGGAATTCATAATGTAAGAACATGTTCTTTATTGAATTATCAGCATTTTTGCACTGAAGTATTGCAACATCCTAAAATTTTTCATATGAATCCACTGTCCATCAGAATAATGAGAAGACAAAAAACCACCAGATTTTAATTACTAATTCCTTTGTATGATATAAATAATTCAGTGAATGAAGATAAACTGAGCAAAGAATGTAAGAAAACATTAGATATCAGGGAAGTGTTCGTTCACATCTGTGAGGCAAAAACAAATCTTGTGCAGTATATTTAACAGCAACATAATCAAAAATAGAGAAGTTGGAGGTGGTTCCAATAAGTGCTGTCTCCTGTTGGTACTGCATTTATGAGAAAAACATAGGAAGGAGAGATCTTTGAGGTAATACACAATTCCAGACTTTACTCCTTATGAGTAGACTGCAAGTAAACGGAGTTGAGTTTTGAGTTGAGTGGCTGGGAGTTGAGGGATACCATAAAGCTCATATTTGTAATGCAGACTTTCAAGAGATAAAGCATGGCCAAGTCTAATTTCTTCAATACTTTCTGACATTTTTTTTAAAAGCTCTATTGTAAATATTAATACCCTTTACATTAGCAATGTTTTACTGTATTCATCAGGTGAATTGCTTTTTCCTTGGAAAAAGGGTTTTATTTTTTTTTAAACAATTTTTATTAATTTTTAAAAACAATACACAAACAAATAAAACGTACAATATAATAACATAAGACATCTTTTCTGAAAAACAAATAAAACATCTTATTTAAACACAGGATAGTTCCAAATTATCACATTTCCATACAAGCACAATTTAATATGTATATTTATCTTATCTGTTCAACTTCATATCTTTTCCCAACTTCTCTTTATTTCTCCCTTTCCTTCTATTCAATTATATTTCTTTTGCCTTGGATTGTATATATTCATTGTATCTATCTGTCTTATTTACAATTTCGTTATTCTCTTCCAACATTCTTCTAGCGTTTTATTAATTCAAACATAGACAAACAAAACACAAAACATAAATACATAAAACTTCTTTTTGGAAAGCGGCTTACCCCGGCTTACATCTTTTTGTACAGACATAAATCAGATTCATGCTCACTTAATATACTATTTCATATTTTATTTAACATTCTATATTTTCTATATATTTTCTCTCTTCTATTCACTCTCTTAATTCCATTTTATCTATTTCATCTCAGTTTAGATAATTATACTTACATCTTTTGTCTGTTCTCTTTCAATTATCTATTTATCTTTTCTTTCTAATACAATATTTCTCCTGTAATCACTGGTTGAAGTATGACAACTTTTTATTTTCCCCCTAAACTTAACACTTAAAATAATACATACTTTCCATACTGATTCTGCTTAGTACATTGTAAGTAGTACATTTTAGAATAATAAAACAAAAAAAAAGAGAATTCAGTTTATAATATAGTAAAAACAATATTCCATAGGAAGTTAAACTCTATTGTTAAATCTTAAACATTTTTATACATTCCTTTTAATGCATTATTAACTCATATAATATTTCAGTTTTCTAACTTGATTTCAAATACTAATATCTACAATACAGTCTTATGTACTTTTGCAGAATCATTTTTTTAAATTATATTTTACCCTTTGTCTGAAAAAACCTGTTTTTTAACATCTTGTTTTAAACCTTTATGACTTCTCTTTCCTTTTCCCTTCCTTTCTTATCAATTCTAGCCTTTTTGCCCCCACCCCCATCTCTCAAACTCCACTCTCTTCATCTTCCCTCTCTGTTGTATTTCTCTTTTCTGTTGCTTTCTGACATAGTATCGATTTTTCATCTTATTTTTCCCTTTCTTGGTTGCTTTTTTAAGTTCTGAGTTCTCCATTTTCTTCCCCCCCTTTCTCCTTTCTTCCTCAACTAAGATCATCTGTCCATTAAAGATGGCTTCTTCTTCTTCATCCCAGCCCTCTTGTTGTTGTATTTCTTGGTAGGTAGAAATCGCCATTTCTAAAAAGTGAAAAATAGATCCAGAAGAGCCCTTGCCTTCTTGTTCCTCTTCTCTTAGCTTTTGAAATTCCATTTGCAATTCTTCAACAGATAATGCCATTTTTTTTAAGAACAACCCAAATGTTTTTAATCTTTCAAGAAATAGTTCCCAAAAATCCCAAAGTCACAAAGCAATCCAAATCAGAACAACCTGTTTCATTTAGCACCTTCTTCTTTTTATATTTTCTCTTCCTGGGGTAGAATTCAATTACACAGTTCCAAAGTAATTTTTTAGAAGTCTTATTGCCATTTATTTCTGGTCTTATAAACTCCAAGCAGTCTCCTTCAGTACAATCTTAAAATAAGCTCTTTACCTCTTCCCTCCCACTTATAGCAAAAAAAAAAAATAGTTTTTAATTCCAATGTTCAGATTTTCATCTGCTATTTCCGTGGGGAGGGAGAGTGAGAAAAAATAACTTTCCCTTTCAATTTTCTTCCGCCGCTTTTACAGTCTTCTTGGGGAACAATGTATCATTCAAGCGATTAAATTTCCAGGATGTTTAAAAGTTCCTTGTTGTCCCGGTTCAGCCAAAAACTTTCACTTTCTCCGACTTCCTCCTGCACAATCTTACCCGGCTGCAGGCTTCTTTGTGGCAGCCATTGCTGACCGCCGCTCCACCGCCCTGGGAAAAAGGAGTTTAGCCGGCTGAGGAGGGGGTTTGTGATACCTCCAAGCCCCTACCCGGATCTCCTCTATCTTCGGTTGCCTCTACGGGGTAACCATATCCTCCAGATCCAGCTGGATCGGAGGCACTTCGGCGGCGAGCGCAGCAGGAACCGCGCACGATAGCGGATTCCTGCCGTCACCGAAGCCTTGCAAACCGGAAAACCAGAAAAAGGGCTTTAGATATGATTTTAAAACTTCTGGAAAATATTATATTTTGAATTAAACAGTAAAAAGATGCTTAGAATATGGATTGTAGAAAGTTAACAATAGATCAAGTATTCTGATAGAATTGGAATTATAGTTTTGAATTAATTAGAAGAATGCAAAAAGGTGATTGGGATTTTTTAAAAGGGAAATATGGTAATGGGACCTGGAAAATCTGGCATTAAAGGGAGCTTAAGGACAATAAATTTATTTCATTAAGAAAGAATGAAGCTCAATCTCTTATGAATGTTTTTGCATTTTGATCTTCGAAATTACTTGGTGTGATAGATAGATCTTGCATCAAAAAGTTATAAAAGAAGAAGTGAAGTCCTGAAGAGAAGTAATAATAAAAAGACTATTTTTACTTACTGGATGTATAATGGATAGGAAACAAGTTCTGGGGCTATATTTGAGGGGGTAAAAATTAACATTGTTAAAATTTTAGGGAAGGAACTTTACTGGACTGTTGCTGACAAAGGACAAATGATGAGGCTTTTCTACACTTTTGTTCCTTTTTAATATTTTTTTCTTTTTATATTCCTATATTTTTATAGTTTGTATTAATTTGTATTTTTTCTATCTGTAATTCTTAATTAAATTTTTTAAAAAATAGTTTGCATTTTTTCTATCTGTAATTCTTAATTAAAATATTTTAAAAAGAAATAGAGAAGTTGGCACTGAATCTCCAGGAACTAGGTGGTGAATCTGATACTAGAATGCTTTTCTAGACCTTGACTGAGTACGATATTTTCCCCTAATTATGACTGGGTAATTGCGAACTCTTAGGGCTGAAAAGCCTCTTCTAGAAACATATGGTAGTAGCACCCTTGAAATAACACAATGATTAATATAATCCTTCATAAATTTCTTAAGGATTAATCTTGTCAGACTAAGTGCATGTCATTTTTGTCAATTGGTAGAATGCTGTGGTTATTATAAATCCTGATTTCAACAAAATATTGGGCAAAGTAATTCATGATATTCCAATTAGCAAGCTCATTAACTTGGCAGTAGATCTATGGTTAACTCAGCCTTACATCCTTCCGATGTCTGTAAAATGAGGACCCAGATTGTTGGGGGCAATATGCTAACATTGTAAACTAATTAGAGAGTGCTGTAAATCACTATGAAGCGGTATATAAATCTAAGCCCTATTGCTGTTGCTATTAGGCCAATTCATAACTGAATTAAAAACCATATTCTCAAAATATTCATCAATAATTCCAACTACAAATACCAAGTTCTTCATTTGAAAACAGAAATCAAATATACAAACATAGAATGAAATGGGGAACACTTAGCTTGATAAGGTTCTCAAAATTGTATTGATGAAGCTGAATGGAAGTCAGCAAAGGGATTTATCTGCTAAAATAGCAGATGAAATTTTAAGCCACATCAACAGAAATAGCATTTCCAAATTTAAAAAAAAATGTAATAGTTCTACTCAATTCTGCATTGCTTGAATCCACTGTATCTAGTTTTGGCACTTTCTCCATTTAAGAAAGATTCAGAGAAAATGCAAAAAAGATTATAGAACAAAACAAAAAAATTCAGGGAATTGGAAATTAATTCTTGACATGAAGAGAATTATGTAAGTTTAGTGTGGAGAAAAAAATGTCATAGCCCTTTTGTACTACCTGAAGGTTTCACACTGAAAAAGATCAAGACTTGTTCTCTGTTGATCTGAATGGAAGGGATAGAATAAGCATCCTGTCAGTGTTAATTCACTGCAAATAACTCCTAGTCAGGAAGATATAAAGAAAAGTAAACTGGCCTAAGTTAGCTATCCATCTAAGGGTGATAGTGTTTTCTTCTTGTAAATGAGATCATACATTTTTTGCCTTTCTTCTCTTGTTTTCTGTTCTTTGTGAGCAGTTCAATAAACTTGGCTCCAGCAGATCATATGGTCTCCATTCATCAAGCAGATCGGAAGATTTTACTCTTTAACTGGTTTGCTTTGACAGAGCAAATACCATTTCAAGTTTAAAGAGAAATGGATAAAGAAATTCCATTTCGCTTGAACAGAAGTACCCATTGATGCAAAGTCACTAATGAAACCAATTCTTAGCATTCTCAAGCTTCCTGCTGTCTTTCATTATATAATTATGATATCATTACTATAAGACCAAAATTATTGTGCTTTGCTGTCACAAAGATTCCATGCCAATTGTACTTCAAGATTCCATGCCTCCTTGACATAAGTAGACTTTATTGTAAAGCCTGTGAATTTAGTAGCAAGTCTTTGACAGGCTTTATGTATTTAAGATTATGGCATGTGCACAATCATATTAACAAAAAAATATTATGATCAAAGATCAGCATCACGTGCATAATGACAATAACATCAGCAAACTGATCAAGGCACATTGTTGCTACATACCTTTCTGTTTCTGATGCAGAGCTTTTTCTAATCTGTTTTTGGGTGCTATTTCTTTCCACCTTTCTGGGATGCCTGTAAATGAGATGCCAAAAAAATGAAAAAGAGAAGCAAGCAAAATAGAAAATCACAAAGATTTAGCTTGATTTCTTGCAAATGGAAGCATGAAAACTAGGTTTTCTGAATGGCTAGTAATAATGGACTTTGGAGAAAATGCCATATTCATCCATTACTTTAATTCAGTTTCTTGGTGTAGGTAATGCTAACCAAGTCAAATATTTCTCAAGTGCTAAGCAATTCTAAAAGTGATGCTATGGAAAACTTTCATTACTGATTAAAATCCGACAATAAGGATCTGGTAGACAAGCAAAATTCTCCTGGATTAATATTCAAAAAGATGCTCTTGTATTATACTTGTATGCAGTATAAAAGAAAAGTAGCACAATTTAACTATGATAATAAAAACATTGCTAATAAACTTGGGCAGATATATATGATTTATATATGAATTATATACCAGTAAGTTATAGAAAATACATTTGCATGTGGTAATTGTAAGACCTATTATATATTTTGGCTATAGTTTATACAACTAAACAATAAGAATGTATGAATGTTACATTTAGTTGTTAAATTTAAATAGAGTCAAGCCATCTGATCATAATCCAGCTGTGTTCTTGCTATATTAAACTGAACATCTCATGCCCTATGGCTGTTTTTAAGAAATGCTAAATTATAGACAGGCTGATTTCAGAATCTGAAAAAAGAAAATAAAAGAAATAAAAAATGGGAGCGGCTTCTGTTGAGCTGTTTAAAAGTATTGCACCCTATGTATTTTTCACTGACTCCTGGTATTCAGAGCAACGTTGTTTTGTGATAACCTTGACATGACAGCTGAAAACAAATTAGGTGAAAACATTTTTATTCTTAAATCACAATAAAAAGTATTCAAGCCTGCAATCCACTATCAGCAGGGTCTTGGTGGAAAAAATTAGAGGGGTTTGATCTATTGTGATCAAAGGAACATCAACTGAAGAGCTGGTTAGTTGAGATTTTCTATATGCGTTCAAAGAGAGGCCTAAATTATAGTAACAAATTACAGTAAAAGAGGCCAACTATTAACTTTGGTTTTCATTCCACAGTCTAGTTCCAAGAGTCATAATGCAGGTTTCAGAATCTTGAAACGTAATATTTCTCTTCAGAATTTCAATACAGCAAATCAGAGAGCTTGGGATCTAAGATGATGCATCCCTTGGAATTTCACAGTGGGGCGATTGTGCCCTCTCACTGATAGGCATGCTCCTTGGGATAACATGTCCTCACTCTCACCTCATTTTCTGTTACATTTCATTGGTCTTCTTGATGTCTTTGGCCTGAACTTTTTAATGATTCTGTTGCCTGTTGCATTGTTTGATGGTTTTTCATACATGAAATCCTTCTTGAAAGATCTGTAGATATTGTTTAGCTGTGCTATCTACTATACATTTTTCTATTTCTTTTATATCTGCAGGAGGTTTTTTTGGCAGTGTAAATGACCTTCTCACGCCTTCTGTTATACACTGTTAATAGAAGAGCATCTCATATATAATAGTTTTATGTATTTTTATGGTAAACTAAAAGCAACTATGGTCCATAAACTCCCAGTGTCCTTTAAAGATTTGGTCAAAGGGCAAATCTTAAATAATCTGCTGACCTGATCAGAAAGGGAGCCCAATAAAAAAATGAAGATATTTAAGAGTCACTTAATGAAACACACACACAGAGCAAACATACTTTATGTAGAATATTCTTCAAAGATGTAGAAAATAACAATATAACGTAGCAGAGTTAGGTTATAAACTAAGATTTTAGTATTTAATTTCATGTATTGTACATGTGGAGCTGCAAGACAACTTTAGCAAGGATACCTCTGTATTTCTTCTGGATTAGCACTTAGAAGGTTTAAACTGTCTTGTTTTGGATTGTAAGACTCCGGCAGTGTTGTTCTTCACAAGTTTTTGAAACATGGAAGTGAAAGTTGAACAGAATGGATAGAAACAGACAGAAACAGAGAGATGGTCACATGCAGTGAAGATGGAGACATGCAATCAAGATATTTATATGACAAGAGCATTCCACCAGCAACATTTTTATGTTCTCCTTTTCAGTGTTTTTAAGGAAGATTTTTTTTAAAAAAAGAAAGTGATGTAATAACTGCTACAAAATAAAATGGAAGCCAATAATAAACACTAAAGACAAACATATTCTCAGCAATAACACCAAAGAATATGCATAAATTCAGAAGTAATTTGGAAAAGGCCATTTGGAGTGCTGAGAGTTATGAATTTAGCATCAATATGCATTTTGTTAAATGTATACATTCTGATCCTGAGAAGAGACATAGCAGCTTTAAAAACTGCAGAAAGGTGTCTCAGTCAAACTAATACACATTCCAAACAAACTTTTCCAAATTATTTCCAAAACTTTACATAATAAACTGACATCTCTCCATCCCTGTCAGAAAATGCTTCTCAAGAGCTGCACATGTGCGTATTTTTCTGAGCGGCTTTGTTCTGGTAGCATTTCTGATTTTCTCTTATGCTGCCTCAAAAAAAATTTTTAGCAATACAAATTTAATAAAAACAATAGTGTGCATTTATTTTGCAGAGGAGAGCAAAGGTTAGTTTACAATTTGCAAGAAAGTACTGAGCATTTTTTTCATAGTTATTCTAGGCTGAGATACATATTCTAAGTTGTTATATACACACACATACGGTACAAATTCTAACAACAATGGACCCCAATGCTTCTCTTGTAGATCAACAGCTGAAAAGAAAACATTCTTGAAATTTGGATTGAAGTATGGATGTTTACTTTCTATACAGATTCTTATAAGCAAATATTTTTCAACTGTTACAAAAATCCTGGTTGATCCACAATAGGATTATAGCATGTAAAAAAAGTTCGCATTCAATATCTAAGGAGAAACTTAGCTCCATTTCTCTACCTAATTGTTTAACTAGGGGCACAGCTAGTATTTTTCTACCTGACAGTGTGATAACCAGGCCAATATCAGAACCGAACAGTTTTAAATTTTTGGTTTGGGTTTTTAAACTCTGCCACATATACACTTAGCCTATTAATTTTATCTGGCTTTGCTTCTCAAAAGATAACTGAAATTTTGATGCTTTGACATTGATGAAAAGCTTGAAAAAGATGGTTAACTTTGGCAAGGATGAGTGAACACAAAAATTTCCACAAAAATTATTTTCTGTAACACAAATCCTGTCCACTTCTACATTAACCATTTTTAATAATAAAAGAGACCTTCTTAGGATTAAAAAAATAGTATTTGACATTTCAATACCTGCAGTATTTTGATAATGAAAATATTCCAGGGATTAATTTGTAACAGTAGAGACTTTGTATTTTCAATTCAGGTAGACTTTATTTAAATGTAATTTTATTAAATAATACTTGTGTATAAAAGAACTGCCTTGCTGATGTTTCATGGAAAGTTAAACAAAGGCTTACTACAATTAATAATACCCAGAAACCAAGATACACAATGAATAGATTTTCTGGGAATCGCAATCTCAAATGCATCTGGAAAGGATTACATCACTCTTTCATTCAACAAGACTTTCCTTTGCTCTTCTTCTTGCATATAAATACAAATCTGTTTCTGAGAATCGTCAAAGCATTTAGAGCATTGTTATTAGCACAAGTATGTGCTGATGTTAGAGTTGTAAATGCTATCACTTATAATGTGAACCATCAGATTTGGGCTATCACTTTTTGCAGCAAAAAGATAAGAGAAAAGAGTGTTTCTTTTCTGCTGTTTAATATTAACGTGGATTTTTGCAGCCATAATTCTACTTATAATCCAGAATAAGATATTGAGAAGAGTTGAAAATATATTATCTGAATGTCTAAGTTGGCAGCCCAATTAAAAAGAGCAATTTGTTTTAAGGGACAACATATGAAAAAAAAAGTTTATTATCCAAGAATGATGCAGCATTAAGATTCAAAGAATAAAATCATAATACAACAACAACAAACCAATAGATGATATTTACATATATCACATTTGGCCAATCAGCATATAAAGAGAAATCCAAAGCACTGGATTTAGCAGTTGCCTTGTTCAGAATGTCAGCCACCAAAAATTTTATAAAGAAAAAAAATTATAAATATGCTGTTACACAAACTCACAGTTGTGAATTGAATTATGAGCCATAAAGATAGGGTATAATTTGGCCTGATGTTAGGAAGCCTTAAATCATTGATTTCATTGAGGTGCAACATGCCAAACTTTCCAGAGCTATGAAACCTTGTAGAAAGAGGCTGAATTCCATATATTGCAATGTAATACTAGAGGTTTTTACACAGAAGTTTACTAAACTAGTTTATTCCTAATAAGTTGTCCTGTAGAGTAGCTTATGGGATCAGCTTTATATCTAATTATTGGGGAACAAACCTCATAGAATTCAGCGGAACTAAGATATGCATGAGATTTTTCTTTCAATGTATTATAAGGCACAAAATTAAAGTATCATTGTAGTGATGCTCTTGCTACAAAATAGGACGAAGAATCATAAGAGATTAAAGACAAGGGAGCAAAATTTGCTCTACTACAGAGCTCAAATACCTGTTTTTTATGTTTAGTCTCAAAATCTAAAGGAAATGCTTTATAATCATTGAATGAAGTTCAAGGATAACCTTTCATAAAGTTGCAAATTTGGGTTCCTGGAAACTGAAACTTTAACCACATGCTGTTCCTACTTGATGTGCATGATTAAGCAATCTACTTTTCAGCTAGGAGGAACTGACTAGTACCTGTCATCCTCCAGAGATGCATGTTGGATATGAATCCGGGGACTAGTGGGTCTTCTATCTAGTGAGGGGGACCATCTACTTCTGTTTGTTCATTGAATAAAATAGGAAGAAAAACAGAACATTTAGTGAACGTCATTTTTAAAAAATGCAAAAAAAAAAAACCCTGAAAAGTACCTCAAGAAAAATCAGTGTCTGTTCTGTCTAAATCATGTTCAACCTACAGAAATTTTGTCTGAATTTATATTAATCTGAATTAC